TCATGAGGGGCTCAGGGAAGCCATCCCAAATTGGAATGTTACCAGTGTAGTCTCCCAGGAGATGAAACATCAATGATAAGAGAGAATCATTGATCTGCTCGCTCCTGCCACCCTACAGGATCTAGCCCCACAACAGAGGCATGTGCCCTTGACCGGAATCAAACTTGGGACACTTCAGTCCGCAGGCCAATGCTCTATCCACTGAGCCAACCTGGCTAGGACATGTTTTATTTCTTTATGTAATAATATGCATTAAATTATTGCATATCTTCTTTACACAAACATTACTATTTATTTTTAATTTATGGGTAAGAATAGATTGGTATTAATTTATAAAATTATTTCGTATTTATATGTAAATAACTATTATAAAATATGTATTATTAAATGTAAATTAACTATTCAAATTTATTTCATAAAACAGCTGGGAAGAATATACAGATTCGCCCTGACCGGTTTGGCTCAGTGGATAGAGCGTCGGCCTGCGGACTGAAGGGTCCCGGGTTCGATTCCGGTCAAGGGCATATACCTTGGTTGCGGGCACATCCCCAGTAGGAGGTGTGCAGGAAGCAGCTGATCGATGTTTCTCTCTCATCGATGTTTCTAACTCTCTATCCCTCTCCCTTCCTCTCTGTAAAAAAAATCAATAAAATATATATTTTTTTAAAAAAAGAATATCTAGATGCAGACAAGTTGGTGAAATTGGAGGGTGTAGAGGTGATTTTTGTGTGATCACATTTACATTCTCTGTGAACTCTGATTCTGTTATCCGTAGAGAGCAGGATGTTGGAGATTTGGGGAGAGAGGAGGGCCTGAAGGGTGTGGTGGACAGAAAAGGTTTGAGGACAAGAGTGGATGAGAGAAGCCAGAGTGATGGGGACAGTGAGGCCAGGCTGAACCCATCAAAGACTAAGAGAGGAAGGACTGGCTGCTCAGTTGCTGGCAGCATAAGGGGCTGGGGGAGGGAGAGTCTGATAAAGAGAAGTCATAGGATAAGCAGGGAGCGTGCCTCATCCACACCGTCACTGCACCTGGCATGGGAGAAAAACACAATTTCTACTTGAGTGGGCTGCATGGGGATCTATATTCTCAGAGGACATTAGAGCATGAAGGGAGAGGGTAGCTTAGAGAAGAAGTTGCAGGTGGAGAGATGCTATGACCTACCTGGTTTTAAGGGCTCAGCTGAATGGCTTGTGCAGAGAGGAAGGGTTGGCAGAGGGTCCATGTTTGAGGAGGGTGTAAAGGGCAGTTTGGGTTGATATGGGAGACTTGGATTTGTAGAGTGACTGAGAGCGGGAGATGAGTGATGGATCATCCTAGAGGTCAAAGCACTCAGCCATCTAAAAGCCTGCACTCCTGACCCTGCCCATCTCTGGAGGCCTTCTTGTCTTATGACACTGTGATATGGGGTTTGATTTCTTTCACAGCTGCTGTCAGATTGAGTAATGGTCTGGCCCAATATGGCAAAGCCTGTTTCCCACATTCGTTACAGGCATACGGACAAGGGGCTTCCCTCTCGAATTCCCTAGTGTGGTCATCTGATCACCACCCACCATCCATCTTCCCCCAGGCCTTCCAAGGTAGAGCGTAAGCTGCCTCATGCCTTTGACAGCTTTATTTGTTACGTTATTCTTAAAATCCATTTGCTTTGGTATAATGCAGTTGGCAAATGTGAGAAGCCTAGTGTCTGGAGTTAACTATTCAATTCTCCTGCCTTTATTATTTTTACTGTGAACACCAGCTTCGTGATAAAAGTGAAGGGAGTGTACTTGCCAACTTTTAAAAGCTAATACTTGCTGGGGGCTCAGGTGGTTTTACTGAATGCGTGACATCACCTCCACAATCCTGGTGATGGATGCCAGGTTTCTCCGGACTTGAAAGAGACGCGTGGGGGCAGCAGGTGCCTGCCCTCCGCTCTTTGATGTTCCATCCTTGTAAATAATGAGCGGTTTGTCTTTGAACAAACTCAGCAGGTGAGCAGGTTCTTTGCCCTGGGAGACTCGAATCTGGTAAAAAAGAAAAAAATAAAGGGTGCCATGAGAGAAGGTTGTATTTCCAACTGTGCTCCCACTATTCTTTTTAAAAATAAAACAAATAAACAAACAAATGAAAATAAACCAGAAGTCAAGAGCAGGAGGAATAATGATTGACAGAAGATGTGGATTGATGATCTTTAAGCCCAGTTTCCTCACTGACTTAAGAATCATTTATTACTCCAGACCCCACACTCCTGGCCAGCACTTCTCAGGGGAAACATCGCCATACAGCACCCACTTCTGCTTCCAGAGAGCATAAAGATGTAAGATGTCCATCTATACTTGCAGAAGAGAAAAAAACAAGTGCTGACGTATTATGCCATCTTTCATGAAAACTACTTTTTTTTCAAGAGTACCAACACTTTGCAGATGTTTAGGAAAATACTTGTTTCTCACATGTTTTGGATCTTGGTCAGGTTAAGAGATGTGCATTCAAATGCCTCCACAAGTAAGACAACACAAAAACACACTAATTGTTTCCACATCCCTACAATGCAGATGAAAAATAATTGTAAAGCCATCTGGGTATAGATAAATTATTCCTATCCAAACATCAAAAACAGATAAAAAGAGACAGAATATGCTTTCTATTTTTAAACTTACCTTCAGAAATGGTCATAATTTGTTTAATAAAAATACATTATAAAGACTTTTCAGGATAAGAAAATTTAAGAAAATAAATGGAAAATTATTTAATTTCACCTATTAACTTAATACTAGATATTGCATTAGAAATGCACTTTCTACTTCTTACATAAACTATGGATGCATTTTTTATATAAACTGTTCGGATTTTGTGCTGGTCCCCTATTTTTGTCAATTATTCTGCCCTGTGCTAAAATTAAATGCTCTCTCACCTCCTCTGTTGTATCCTTTTCTAGAAGCCAAGGTAGTAGGAATGCTGATGCATATACCATTGTAGGGAGACCTAGGGAGCATTGACAATAATTAATTTCACAGATATCCCTCAGTGAGTAGGTATTCAAATAAGTGAGTAGCAAATAATGAAAAGCTTGGGGTGAGCTTAGCTAGGAGTATCTAACACCCCTGCTTAGCACTTCCCACAACACTGAGAAAACCTTAATTGCCAACCTAAAAGAAGAAGACCACTGATTCAGACTCATTCTACCTGTGAAATGAGAGAGACAAAGTAAGTTGAAGAATTTTCAATACTGTTAATGTACTCTACAGAATGTTTAAAACAGCAATTAAGAACTTGAGCTTATGCATTTTTGTAAACTACTGCCATCTAGTGACTAAACTACACATTACCACTTTGTCAATTTAGGATTCAACTGGCTAACAAGGGAAATAAATGTATTGGGTATGTCAAATATTTTACCATGAAATGTAGAATTTATAATGCATAATAAATATCTTCAAAGTTTTTACATAATTTGGTAAGGAATATGTTAAAGATAAATTAAATGGCATAGATGATGCCAGTTCTTAGCTAGAAATATTTAATTCAAGGAATGAATATAATACTTCATGGTGAAATACAATCCAGTATATTTAAAAATTCAATCACCTTATTAATTTAATTAAAAACTACCAAATTTAATTGTTTAAAAAGTTAATATGCACCTTTACATATAGCTCTAAACCGTTTTATAATATATCTATCAACAACTACCAAGGCAAAAGGGAAACTAGCTGGAAGATCAAATTGTGCCTCCACATCTTAGATTGTATGTACTGAAGTATCTGACTTACCTATTTAATTATTAAGCAGCAGTTACACATTTATAAAGTTTTGCAAACAAAATAAAAAATTTGTATACCATAGAGAATCTTGCTCACTTGACATTAGGCATGAGGAAGTTAGTAAGGCACATTCCTGGGAAGGGAATGCCTAGTGCTACTGTATCAGAAATGTTACTATGCTGGCCAAACCAGTGCCTGCTCTCAGTCTAACCCCCAATCTGAAAGAAGCTTTTCCACTGATGGGAGCAAACTCCTTTCTCAAAGCCAGCCAGAGAAAATACCCAGGCAGTGTGAGCTACTCCAGCTAGAAAGGGAGGGAGGGAGGAAGGGAGAGGGGGGAAAAAAAAGAGAGAGAGGGAAGGAGAGAGAAACACACACACTGAAGAGAGCTGGATAGGCAAGGAACAAGCCAGTGCCACTCCCGGGGTTAAGAAGAGTAGACAGACAGATTGGAGCACACTGAAGAGTAACAAAGTCTGTATTTGAGTTACACATTGAGGAATTAAATAAGCAAAGACCAAAAATTTCCTGTGATTACTACTAAGGGTCCTGAAGCAAGTAGCAAATATCCCACAATAAACATGAGAAGAAGAACTTGAGAGAAGAGGAAAGAAGGTCAAACCAGGATGGAAATGGTCCCTTGGACACAATGAGAACAGGTAGAACTAGACACCGATACTAGAGTCCCATTACATGACGTTCAAACTTTATAATTAGTCAGCACAATATTTCTCTGCCTCCCTCTTTCTCTATCTCGATCTACTTCTCTCTAGATCAGGGGTCCTCAAATTACGGCCCGTGGGCCACATGCAAATACAAATATTGTATTTGTTCCCATTTTGTTTTTTTACTTCAAAATAAGATATGTGCAGTGTGCATAGGAATTTGTCCATAGTTTTTTTTTAAACTATAGTCCAGCTCTCCAACGGTCTGAGGGACAGTGAACTGGCCCCCTGTTTAAAAAGTTTGAGGACCCCTGCTCTAGATAAATAGGTAGCTAGATATATCTAGATATCTACCAGTAGATATAGATACATACATGCACTATATATAGATACATACATAGATACATAGAAATACAGATACATCGGTGGACTCATTCATAGAGACATCATTTAGAATCTGGGTTCAGTCATTCTTAACAAATTATTTATTTTTAGAAATATCCAAATAAAGAATCCATCTCTCTTCCCACACTATTCTCTCCTTTCTCCTTTTTCTTCTCTCCTCTTTCCTCCTCCGTGATTTCCTTCCTTTTCTCCCCTCCTTTCCCTTTTCTTTCCCTTCTCCCCCTTCTTTTCCTTCTCTCCTCCCCTTTCTTTTCCCATTCCCTCCTGTTCTCTCTCCCCTCCCCCCCTCTTTCTTTCCTATTTCTCTTTCTCACTCCACTCTCTACCCCCCCCCACCCCCTTTCTCGGTTTGCTAGACTTTGTGTCAGTCAAAATTCTGGAACCCAGAGGGAAAAGTAAGGGTCTATGCTCTCATCAGACATTCCTTACATACTTTTGTGATTTGAGAGTGTAAACATTGTTCTATTAATTAAAATCTTCGTCTGTGCTTGTTTTATACTACTGTATTTAATTCCTATTGCTTTCATAACCAATTATTATAATTTTAGTGACCTAAATCAGCACAAATTTATCTTATAGTTCTGGAGGTCGGAAGTCCTAAAAGAGTCTCACTGGCCTGACATCCAGGTGTCCCTGGGCTACGTGCCTTTAGAGGCTCTAGGAGTGAATCCTTATCTTTGTCTTTTTCAGCTTTTAGAGGTGGCCTGTATTCCTCGGGTTGGGGCCACTTGCATCTTTAAAGTTAGCAATTGCTGGCAGAGTCTCTCTCGTGTTGCCTCCTCCTAACTCTGCCTGCCTCCTTGTTTCACTTGTCAGGGTCCTGTGATTACACTGGATCTACCCCATCATTCTGGATAAGCTTCCTATTTTAAGAAATGCTACTTTGCAACCTTAATCCTATCTCTATTCTTAATTCCCCTTTGCCTTATAACAGCATGTTCACTGGTCCAGGAGATTAAGATGTTGACATCTTTGCATGGACGGGGGTGGGGGAATAATCTACCTTATCACATCTGTTTAACAACAGCTGGGCGTGGTAACTCAGCACAGTTTTAATGTCAAGTGACTGACATTGACATATGATGAGATTCTAAAGGAAAGATCCTTTCAGGCTCTGAAGTCTATTAATAGTATGTTTGGGTTTTTGTTGTTTTTTAATTTTGTTTCCTTTCTCTCTTCCTGACTCTGAGAGAATTACTATGGCACAAGAGTAGAGGTATTTGAATTCCAAAATTTTAAAAAAAAAGGTAATATATAGAAAAGGTCAAGTTCCCAACCCAAGTGGGGTTGGGGGCTTAAACTAGACGTTGGGGGCTAGTTTAAGTGGGGGCTAGTAGAACTTGAACTTCAGAAAAATATTCCAACCTGCACAGCACGTCCTCCCAGGGATCTGTCCAACTGAACAGTCAGGAATGCAGATGTTGTCAGCTCATCTCTCGTGGCTTTGGCTCCTTGCCTGGAGGGGACCCAAGCAAAATGAATTAGCTTGTATTTAAGTTTTAAAACCTTCTAACACAGGCATTTCGAGTAGAGACTTGAGTTATTGTGGTTTCACATGACAGGGCTGTGAAAGCCACCGTTTTTCTGCAAGTGCTACCGTGGAGCCATGACTCGTCCCGCGTACTGTCTAGAACTGCGTGTGGCAGGGATCCTTGTCTCCATCGTGCAGGTAGCTCCTTATAACTTAGGTCAGTAATCGGGTCTGTCTGACTTTAAGTTGGAGCTGCCTATTTTGGGAAACCATATCCCATAATGAAAATTCTCCATCTGAGTAGGAGAACATGAGCCAATCCTACGAGGCTGGATATCAGAGGCACTTCATTGTTCCATGAATATTCTGTGAGCATAGCACCAAATGTCTGAGCCCAGGAGATGAGATACTCAGCTACATATCCACTAGGAGAACACTCCCCTTTGCATATCAAAACCTTTTTCCTAGACTAGAGACAATGATTGTTATCTAATCCCCCCTGCTTATGGGCAGAAGCTACAAAATATAGTCAAAATCATATTGAAAGGACATACTACAAGCAATAGAAATCTCACTAGGATAACTATAGGACAATTCTATCCTATATTGCATAGAATTTCGTGAAATTTAACTTGGGAGCAATATCTGGCCTCTATGAAACTTGAGATTTTATAACAGAGGGAAAGTTACCATGTGTAGATAATCTGTCCTCTGGGATACGTGTAGAGTATAATGTAGCAGTCACCACCGTAGAATTCACCATATGAATTTTGGTTAATTTCGACCCTACCGCTGCTTTCCACACGCCAAATCTGAAAGGGATGGAATACGTGTACCCAAATTAGCATTTTCTTGATCTAATAATACTTCTCAGAAGTTTTCTTTTAAAAGTTGGTCTAGATCTATTCCTAAATAACTTTTAATAATAAAAGTTGGTAATTTTTATTTTAAAAGTTATTGTATTATAAAGGGGCAGGATAGGAATTTGGAGACGAGCGGGTGAAGAGATGTGCTTTCAGATAGAAGCCTTCCCACACCGTCCGGTGAGCAGAGAAACGGCAGCAAGGCCTGGCTAAGCCAAGGGCCTGGAGGGAGCTGGGTTTCAGGAGGCCTGGGTGGCTCGGCAGGACATCTCAGAGATGCTGTGTTCTGACATGGGGCAGTAGCCAGGACACATCTGCCACAGGGTTACATGGCTGTGCTCAGCTCCAGAAAAGAGCATCTGAGCAGGAGAT